CCAAGGTCACATTGCAGGTGAGATAAAGGTATGATTAAAATCTAGCCAAGTGGGACCCCTATGATAGCCCCTTGCTGGACATTTCCCTGACCACAGGCTACTCAAATTGCTGCCAGAGGAGTCCAAGGAACATCAGCTGTAGCCTGGGAACATCCCACCGGGGTCAGGCCCAAGCGGTGGAGAGGGGTCAACAGGACCCTGTCAGGAGGGTAATGGGTAGAGTGCAGGGTGCCAGGCCCCATTCTGGGCCTGATTCTCCTCGATACCTGCTCCAGCTAGTTTGAATCTGGCTCAGTAACGGCTGGCTATGGATGGGTCACTGCCCTCCCTGGCCTCCCTCTCCAGTGAGACGCCTTCTCACTGTGGCAGGAATAATGTGTATGTTACAGGAAGAAGAGCTCAAAGCTGACACAGAAAGAATGGGCAGTGTGGGCCCTTCTTCCTACCCCCATCTCCTCTCTTTCTTGGCTCCTTCCCGAGGATCTGAGGAAGACAGCCAGTTCCACTTCATGTGGCTCCATCTTCAGACGTGGGGAAAGGGCTTCCCTGGCTTCCTGCAGGCCTGACCTCTGGGGCCAAGTCCTACCCATCTGCAACCCACCCCATCTCCCCATGTACCCCGGAATGACCTCCACTTAGATGTATTCCAACCATGTGGGAGGCTATAGGCTTCCTGGGGACAAAGGCACAGTATCCTTCCTGGGGAAAACAGGGAGGGGACACTGCCCTTAGGAGCTTCCCTTCTGGTTCCAGCCAGAGGGGCAGCTCCTGAGTCATCTCGGGCCCTGAAATGTTGTGCCTGCCTATTTGTGCTCCCTGGAAGTGGAGATCTTACACAGAGGTCTCACCCCAGCACCCAGGGGCCTCCCAGGCTGCTGGCCATAGCTACCAGCCTAGAATAATAAGGGCTGCTATTTTATACATGCAGATACACATGCTCTAATTCCATTATGAGGGCAAAGGGTGATCATGCTATGTGTACTTTCTTTTTTTTGTACCAGGAATCAAACTCAGGACTTTATGCTTGCCAGGCAGATGCTTATGCCACTGAGCTATACACCCCTGGCCCTATGTGTACTTTTTGGTATTAGTTTTTCTTTTCCAAACTGTGTAAACATCCTCATCCCTCAGTTCACCTTTCCAGAGACAGTCTATTACCACTTTCTTGTGAATTCTTCCAAACAACACATGTACCCGATTCAAGTATTTATGGGTATGGTGTTCTAATTTTGTCTTGAAGTCTGCTTTGTCAGATATGAGTATATCTACTCCTTCTTGCTTTCGGGCTGTATTAGTATGGAATACTTTCTCTATCCTTTCACTTTCAGTCTGTGTATGTCTTTGCTAATGAGGTAAGTTCTTTCAGGCAGCCAGATACTGAGTCTTGTTTTTAATCCAATTTGTGAGTCTGTTCTTTAATTGAAGAATTAGGACCATTTATATTTCAGAGTTATTAGAGAAATGTATGTACTCATTCATCACTTTGCTATTTTTCTAATGTTTGATTCTTTTTAAATTCTCAATAGCTTATCTATCTTTTCCTCTTCGGTAAGTAGAATTCCTTTCAGTATCTTCTGCAATGCTGGCTTAATGGTTATTATTTCACCTTCAATTTGGATAGCTTTGCTAGATGTAGTACTCTAGGTGGCAATATTTTCTTTCAGAGTTTGAAATACATTGTTTCACCCTCTCCTGGCGTAGGGGTTTCTGTCAGGAAATCTGCAGTTAGTCTGATGGGATCGTCTCTATCTGACTTGGCACTTTTCTCATGCTGCTTTTAGCATTTCTGCTTGTTCTATTCTCTCAACATTTTAACTGTAATGTGATGTGGGGAGGTTCTTCCCTGGTCATGCCTGTTTTGGATTCTAAATAGCTATATCTTTCCCAAGATTTGGGAAATTTTCTGTTACTCCTCGTTGGATGTACCATGCCATTAGTCCACCCCTCAAGAGTCTTTTTCTACAACACAGTTTGTAAGTTTGTAAGTGACCCTCCAAATCATCACAGGGCCAAGAAATCTAGAACCTGTACTGCTCCATTCCTCATTATACTCGCTATAGTAAAGGTAAGAGAAGGTCTCCTCTCTCACTGTTCTAATGATGATGAGGACAGCTACTGACAACCCAAGTTCTGGCATCTGGTCTCACTGTTGTACACAATGGCCAGCCCTAGATGTGATGTCCTCTTTTTGCTTTGTTTATGGTGTTAATTTCCAGCCATAGATTGCCTTAAACTGTGCAAGAGGCATTCCAGTGGAACAGTTGTAATTTTGGCACTGTTAACAGAGGGCTGGGATATTCTTTGCTGCCTACAGGGAGACGCTTTTAGCCTATGTGTGCTTTTAACTGATATGCTTACTACAGCTCAGGTAATGAAGCTCAAAGTAAGGAGAAGAGAAGCTGATGACCCATATAGTACATAAGCTAAAGTTAATGACCATGTAGTACATATAATTCGTAAGCTGAATTAGACACTCAAAGTATTTATAACCAATGCTCCAGTACCTGCCCCCCCAAAACAATATCATGTCATGTCAGTGGCCACCTAAGATTCCTCCAGTGTGACAGCAGTTGTCCAGTATGAGTGTGGGAAACCTTGGGCTCTGTCAGTCTCCTGCACTTTTACCCATCATAGCTTCAGGCTTCCCTGGTGTGCTGTGAAGCGGAGACATTCCCTCTGCCGCTGACCTCCTTGTTCACAGAAAGCACACTGGTTGTTCTTAAGGGGCTGCTGATCCAAGGGCTATGGCCTCGGCCAAAACCTAGGATCGAATCTCACCAAGGCACTATTATTCAGGTCACCATGAGGCAGCTAGGAGCTGAAGGTCATCTCTAAGAACTCAATCTGTTGTTCAGTCCTGGTCTTCAGTGCCCCCCCCCCGCAAGCAGCAGTGGAAGACAGCTATGTCAATGTCCCCAAGGGCAGATTAAAGGCCAGGGTAGCACTTTTAATCAGTAAAGCAGTTGGGATCCTCAGAGAATCAACCAAATCTCTCTTTATATATGCCTAAGACAGACACAGAGAAAGGCCTGTGCACCTGGAGAGTGGCTTTTCCTCTCTCTGTCACCACCCAGAGAGGACAGAGTCAGGGCCTGGGTTGGTAGGGAACTCCACACGTGGTGCCGTCAGGACTGGATCCCTCTGGCAGAGGGGGCTGTAGAACAGGAGTACAGAGCTATGGTGATGCCGTTTCATGGATTGCTGGGGTTGCAGGCACCTTAGTTAAAGTAGGTGGAGTGACAGGAGTCACAGGAGGCTCCAAGTTTAGAGGCATAAAAGCTTAAACATAAAAAAAACTTCACCCTATTTGCCTTCCCTCCTTCAGAACAAATCTAGCTGCAAGACTGTGCTATAACTAAGGGACCCTTTTTATCCCCACATCTTGTTCCCCAACTGATACTGAGGGCAGGCCATGCTACAAAAAGAAAATCAGCTTCTTTTCCTTTAAACTTTCTTCCTTAAACTTCCCCCAACTAGCTAAAAGTATACCAGTGGTGTGTCATTTGCCATGCTCTCTTGACCCCCATATTTTGGTAAGAATTTTATCAGATGGAGGGGTTGCAAAGTTGAGACCTGCTACTTGTCTTTGGCCAACCGGGGTAAGATAGCTATGGTAACCAAAGCCCAAAGGAAACCGCCCCCCATTTTCCCTCGAAGATTTAAGAAAGAAAAATAGAGGGAGAGATAGAAAGACAATAGCAATCTCCATAGCAGATTGAATCATAAAAAATAGTACCCTGAATAACCCCCACCCATCTGTGCTTCCCCAGAGGATGGCAGAGAACACAGCTCAAGGAGTGGAAGTTACAAACCACCAGAAGGGGGCGCTGTCTGAGAGGTGGGTGTGAGTGTGTAGTGGTGGACGCACAGAGCAGATACCCGTGAGAGGTAAACGCAGGGAAATCTAAAAAACTGAGATCCCTGCCTAACAGAAAACCTATCTTCCGTAAGAAAAAGAATCAATGCCCCTCCAAGCCAACAGTCAATCAGCACAAACCATCAGGGCCCAATAGCCAATTTCCGATTAGTTCCAAGTCCCATGGGAATTTGTTCCTATAGGAATTTCTTTCAGTGTCCCAGAAGAGCAGTCCTCCATAAACCACAACCAAGAGGTTGATCAAATCTTAAGTATTAATTAGGCACCTGTGAGGAGAGCTTTTTAGAATACTGTGCGTCCTTAACGGAGAGACGGATGGAAACAGACAAACAAAAATCCTCACAAGACACACAGAAAGGAGGCAGAGACAAAAATTTCACAATTTTAAAGCTACTTCCCACACAAGGAATGATTAGTTAACACCAGTTCTAATTAGTTTTAGGTTCCCTGGAGGAAGGGAAGAAAATATTTGCTCACAAATCACAGGGCACCAAACCAAGCCACCATACTACCTAAAGGACAAGAGTGGCGTAACCATTCCGCTGCCTTGATTACTGGGTGATCAAGCCAGGGCCTAAACCACAGGGCTTGTGGCCTAAACCCACCCTCCCTGCAGATGTCTCTGTCATGTGACAGTAAAAGGAGCGAGGGCTACGTTGATGAGGGCTCCCTGGAGCTCTGGAAGTCCAGGGACTCAGCAGTGGGCCCTGATGCCTTCCTAACAGGCAGTCATTTTCAGGGCGGCTGCTGCTGGAGGCTGTGGCAACACAGGCCCCTAAGGCATGGCCTAGAGGGCCACAGAAACAACCCGGGTTGCAAGAAGACACTGAGGCTGGTTGTCCCAAACCACCCTGGAGAGGCAGGGGAAGCCAAGAGGAGGTGCCTGACATCTTCCGAGAGAATCCTGCGCCTTCCAGATAAGAAAGAGAAAGGTCAGCTTCCTTTCCTGTCTCACTAACCCTCTCCTGGTTGTCTTCCTGAGGGTCCCAGGATTCCAGTGTGTAACACCCAGGGTGACAGATATGATCCCAAGGGTAAGAGAGGACAGTTCGCTCTCTCTAGTACAATATGTTCAAAGTTAACCCCAAGTTTAAACCAGACCTGGATTGAACAGAATTTTTATTTGTAGTTTTTCAAGCAACCTCCATACTGATTTCCGTAATGGTTGTACTAGCTTACATTGCCACCAATAATGTAGAAGTCCCCCACCACCACCGTTCTGCAGCCTCAGCAGCCCTTTCAGGGGCTCTTACTCCCTCCAGGACATGGCCCAGAGCAGGTGCTACACAAAGGGCTTGTCACCACACAAGGGTTCAACTGCCAGCTGGAAGAATGGTCCCTGTTCAGCACTGCTCTGGTTGCTTGTGTTGTCCACATGAAACATTCCCCGGAGCAGTAGCCAGTGTTCAGTGTGGGATCTGGACCCAGCCTTCTGAATGCAGCCCGGTCCACGGGCTGGGAAGGCCCATAAGAGGGAACTCACAGCCAAGGGTAGAACTCCTGCCAGTTGTGCCCCTGCAGAGCCACTGTAAGAGAAGCAGGCCAGCAGAAGTTCAGATAGGGAGAGAAAAGTACCGGGAGATAGAAAGCCTGGCCAAACCATGCAGCAAGAGGTCAGAGTCCTGGCTTCCCAAGCTGTTTTTTTTTTTTGGTTTTTTCTCCGGTACCGTGAACCGAACTCACAACCTTGCGCTTGCGAGGCAGGCGCTTTGCCACTGAGCTAAATCCCCAGCCCCTGGCTTCCCAAGCTGTAGGGATGGCTGCAGTGGGAGTGTTTGCCCCTCCTGCCCCACCCACACCCTTCTCAGCCCTGCTCTGGGCCCCTGCAGGCTGCCTGTGTGGACAGCATCAAGAGCTGCCCAGAGGGAAAGGAGATCAGGGATGTCTTCCCTGCCACTGGCCTGTGGGGTTGCCCTCTTTGAATTCATCAGAACCCAGGGACCCCGGCAGCCTGCATCCTTGCCCTCTCCCAAGGTTATCGCATTGCTCAGTGTAGCTCCTTCTGTACTACTCTATGACCTCCCTCTCCCATGTAGCCAGGGGTCTATTACTACTTAGGGCACCTGCACTACTCTTAGGGTTTCCTACACCCCACTGCCCATTTTTGTAAATTATTCCTATGATAAGCCCTCTTGCGAATCTCCTAAATTGGCTGAGTCTTCTGTTCCTTGCCGGCATCCTCACTTATAGGGCCACCTGCCCTGGATTCCCTGGGATGACCTGGTTTGCAGTCATCAGCCCACTGCTCCACATGCAGTTCTGGCTCCCTCCTCCCTTAAGTTCCAGCCAGGCAGAGGGTCACTCTGCTGACCTTCACTCTGCTCCAGCCACTGGCAGACCTGCAGGGTTCTAAGTCCAAACAGCTAAGTCCACAGCTTCATTCCTCGGGGGGCACTCCTCCTTTGTGTCTTCTCACACTGGAGTCACCAAGGAGACTGTGCTGAATGTTCTATCCCAGAGCTTTGGTCTCTTAGGAGGCAGTGACAGCAGGCAAACCTGCCCAGAGGATTCTGTCCACAGTGTAATTGAGGCTGCTACTGGCCCTGCAGGGATTTGGATGGCAGCCTCAGAGGCACTGGGCACTCCAGCACCATACATAGAATGGACGTCCTCAAGCAGAGAGGCTATACCATGGGTATAACCTGGGGAGAGGGCTTGTAAGGGAAAAGTCAAATTTGTATAATTTGAGTGCCTAAAGTTTAGCATAGTGCTCAAGATAACCATAAAAAAAGCCCCTGAGGACTACCTAGAGAAATTCCTCCCAAGGAAAACTGAGATCGTGATGATAGTAAACCACCCGTTCATCATCAAAACCAATAAGATCTTTGAGATATCACACAAGGTCTACATCATGATGGAGCTCAGAGGCCAAGGCAACTTCCTTGAATTCATCAAAACCCAGGTAGCCCTGGAAGAGTGAAGCTTGCAAGAAATTCTGCCAGCTCTCCTTGGCAGTCAGGTATTGCCATAACTTGTACAACAACCACAGACTTCAAGCTCAAGACCTTCCTCCTTGACAAAAAAATCAACATCAACTTGTCTGGCTTCAGCCTCTCCAAGTGCTGCATGCAGGGCAGGAGTAGCCAACTGACATTGACTAAAACCGTTTGCAGATCAGTGGCATACTCATCCCCTCATTCAGTAAGACAAGGAAACAGAGTGAGGGACATTCCTAATGCAATGATGTAGAACTAATAAAAAGGGTCTATTTTGGACCAATCAGAAACTTCCTGTTTTCAATCCTTCATTGGAAGCCGGTGCTGTTCACAAGACGAACTGGAAGATTCTCTTTTCAATCATTTGTTTGCATGTGGGCACAACCAATCAAAAGACACTATTCCTGATCCTTCATTTACATGTAACAGGAAGCCAAATGAGTTTTTCCAATAGGACAGTTTATACCTGGCATGATGCTATGAGTGTTTGATAGGACAATTTCCCCAATGCCTTATTTACATGAAAGATAATTCAAGAATTTGGATACAAAAGACTTCTTTCCCTTTACCTTCAGGGCCACTGTGAACCTTTTCATTGGCCCATTCTCATTCTGCAGAGCTAACTTTTTTCTGCCTTCAATAAATGTACACTTCCACTGCCTTTGCTGTGTGTCTTGTCAAATTCTTTGTTCAGGACACTAAGAACCTGAAAGAAGCTCACTGAGACCCTCCATCCAGTAACACTTGCCGTAGACCTCTGACATCAAGAGCCAAGAGCCTGACCATGATCCACTAAGACACGATGGTCTGCGGCTCCCTGCCCTATGACAGCTCCAACATCATGAAAATGCTGCACTCACAGGAGGAACATTAAGACAACTTCCTGTGCACCAAGTACCTGATCAGTGAATGCCAGGACCTCATCTACCACACGCTACAAGCCGCTGTCAACGGGCAGCCACACGTTGATGAGATTCCCAGCTACTGCGTGGTCTAACCAAAGGCGCAAAGTCGGTCTTCTGCAGCCATCAACAAGGAGAGGAAGAGTTCCCCAGGCCCAGTCTTCAGAGACTCTGGAACTTGGCTCTGAGAGGAAGCCTGCCACCAAGCTGTAGCTTGAGGAAGAGGCACAGCCTGAGGCATAGACAGAGACAAAAACACCAAAAAGATGTAGTGGAAGTGGCCAGGCAGTCAGAAATCCTGAGCTTCAGCAGCAAGCAGCTGGCCAGAAAAACAGCGGAGGCTCCAGAACGCACAGCTAATGAGCCAAGGAGACATCAGGGAATGAAGCAGAGCTCAGGCCTTGTAGCCTGAGCCTGGAAGAAGTCAAAGAATAAGCCAGAGAAGAAAGACAGTCCCAGATTATTTTTCTTAGTTTCTTGTTCCTCCCTTTGAACTTCATAATGAACAAATAAATCATGAATTTGCGTCTTTGCCCAGCTGACTGCAGTCTTGGGCTCCCTCTACCTCCCAACTCACACGCAAAACAAGCATCTATCACAAGTGTAGATGCCAAGATGGATGTTTTGCCCAGGTGACTTCAGTTCTGGGTTCCCTCTGGCTTCTTACTCACGGGAAAACACACCCCAGGGTGCTCAGCCCAGACCATTAGCTCAGCCCAGCGCTGACGCAGCTGCGCCTGTCAGAGTTTGGGACAGATGTTGGAGGAGACAAAGAGGGGCAGGGGTCAGAGCAGAGAGCTGAGCAATGAGGCAGAGAGCAGAGTGAGGAGGATGTTACTTGCAGAGGGTGGTCCTCCAGCGCCAAGCAGGAGTAGAGAAAAGACAGAGGCAGAGAAGGGAGACACAGAGGAGGGGTGGGAGGCCAGGCTCTCTCACGCTGGGGAATGTGGCCTTGGCTGCATTTGGAACTGAGGATCTAAGTAGCAGTCATCAACCCCAAGCATCCAGCTACACAAGGCTATCGGTGGGGGCTTGAGGGCAGGCCAAACAGCCCGTCAGTCCGTCTTGAGCTTCCCCACCTGCTGGGTGACTTATTTTCCTTTCCCTCCCACCACCAGTTCCCCTCATGTCCAACAGGCAATTCTCAACAGCATCCGGAGTCTCCCTGCATGGGAGAAGTGAGAGCCCTGCTAGATGGCCCAGTATGTCCCGCAGTCCAGTGTAGCCTTGACCATGTCCCATTCCCCTTCAGCTCCTGCTGGAGCTGAGAAGCTGACCCTGGAGAGTAGGCAAGGTAGGTAACTTCACAAAGCTTGCCTGGATACTGTGGGCAAAAAAGGCAGCCCCTGGTATCCTGCAGTGGGTGTGGATGTATTTGGCACCACTGGCTGCCAGGCACTGCCCGCCCTGCATGTCCCAGGCAGTCCTTACCCTACCACAGTGACCCCATTTTCTCTTCACCTTAGTCTGGACAACCCCAGGGGGGCTTGAGGGTTTAATACACACAAAAACATTCCAACTCACCTTGTGCCCCAGCCTGCATCCACCTTGGCAAGACCCCAACCCCCAGAGCCTTGAGAGAAGTAGAGTCCATCAAGCTCCTGGATTTGCCCTCCCTACACAACCACCCACAGTACAGTCCACCTCCCTCCCCACACAACACCTGGCCCTTTTCACTGCCTCCCACAGCAGTCAGATGCACTTCCTAAACCTAGTCTGGCTTCCACCCTTGTAGGAAGGTTTCTAGTATCTGGAGGTCCTCCCAGGCCTGGCCTTTTCCTGTTGACCCCTGCTTCCTCTGCTGGTCTCCTGGAGCTGCCCCTCACCCCAGGTTCTCATCCACAAAGTACCATGATCATATTGTGGACTTGCCTCTGCAGACTCTGTCCTCTTGCCAGGCTTATAGAGTGGTGGTTGAAGCCACCCTCTCTATTCCAAGAAGCTCTGCTTCTGCTAAGCTGATACCCGCCTTCTCTGACAAGTCCCCTAAGAACCAGAGAGACTACACTGTACTGGGCAAAGGCAGGGCACGAGGAAGCAGAATGCACAAAAGAGGGAGAATGAGTTTTGGAGTCGGCTGAGAAGGCTGACACTCAGAGGGATGCGGCAGATGGGGCCCTGGGAGTGCAAGGGATGTGGGAGAGAACAGAGGTATTATGCTTCTGGGTCCTGGCCTGCAGGTCATAGCCTTTTCTGGGACACAAGGAGGGAAGTTCTAGTCACTTTGAAGTAAATAATCCCCAGGAGAAAAGGAAAGCATTGAGCTAAAGCTATGAACCACCAGTGCTCTACACAGCTTACGTGAGACTTGCAAGGCTGGTGCTGCTGACAGGGGGTCACTATGGGCTCATCATCCACCCTGCCCATCCTGTCTCTCAGCCCGACAGGCTAACTCTGGCTGCCAGACGCAAGACACGTTCTACCTGTTCCAGGTGTGTCCACATCACTATACCTCTGCCAATGATGACACGGCAGCCTAGCATGTCATGTCCGTCATGTCCCTGCTGCAGCCCTGCAGATCCTTTGCACTTGGGCTCTTATATCAGTTACTCTTTGAAACCTTCTGCCACCGCCATCACCACCACCCATATAGAAACAGGCATTCCTGTCCTCCCTCTGACCATGGAACCCCGGGTTCTCCTATCTAGACATCCCCCTATGGGCAAAGCATGTTTGTGACCAATGACAAATGGATATCAGGGCTTGCAAAGTAGCTAAGAAGGGTTCTATTTTCCAAAGTGAAAAATCCATGCACCAGGCACAAAAGGCAGCTGACATGCAAATGAAGTGTAAGTCACAGTTTCAATAGGTAATTCCTGCCCCCACTTCACAAATGACCGAAGTGGAGAGATTCTGGCCCCCTCTCCCTACCCAGAAGCTTGCTGAGTGCTTCCAGCCCTGAGGGCCCCCCTGCACCAAGGCCCTGCCACATGGCCTCTCACTGATGAGATCCAGGCTGGTCCTGCTCCCGCTTCTTCTGTCCCTTAGATATCCTTCTTTGCCCAGGCTCCAATCCTTCTTTGGAGCCTGCACCAAGGCACTGACCTCCACAATCACCCCAAGCCAATTATTCTCTTTCAGTAAGTTGCCATCTTCAAATAGGACTTGGATTGTACAATGGTTGCCTGTCATCTAGAGAAAAACCCACAAGTTTTTCCTTCTCTTCCTTCCTGATTTGTATTACTCAGCCGTTCTCAGAAGCTCTTTCCTGCCTAGGTGCCTCAACACCTGCTCCATCTGGTCAAAGTTCTGCCCATCCTGTATGCCAACTCTACCCCTTGGAACGTGCGTCTATCTGCCTGCCCTGGTCCCTAGGCCAGTCCGCTGGGCACTCGGGGCATCCTCAGTGCAGCTTGTTTTCCCACCCCCCACAAATGCCCCTGCTCACCAAAGCAGCAGCATCTCATCTGCCTGGCTCTAGCTCAAGGAAAAGACATGAAGCTGCTTTCATCCACCAGGCTTGGAAACACTGCTGGCTTGGCTGGGTCAGGGCAGATGCCACCAGTTTGAAGGACACCACCTCTGCCGGAGCTTTTCTTCACACCATGAAGAAGCTGCAGGAAATTGACTCTTGTGGGACAAGGACCAACATAAGGTCAGTTCCCAAGGCCAGGTGAGGGAAACAGGCTTGGAGTGGACACTCTGGTGGGCTTAGGCCACCTCCCCTCAGGCCTGACTTGTGCAGGGAAGCTGCAGTGAGAAAGGGGAGCAGGACGCATTACCGTGGTCTTGAGGGCAGGCTTCCTTCCAGTGGGCTGGAAAGAGGATGCTCCTTTTGGACCAGCCTGGCTTCGAGAGTTCCAGGAGCCCTGCACCCCCAGCCCGGTCCTCACTCCTGGCATCCTGGCTTTGTGACTTCATTTGCTGAAGTCACCTGGGGACAATGCTAGGCATTCCGCTGCCCTAAGCCCAGGAACAGCCTGGCCAGAAGACTCCCCAAAGTGGAAAAATGACAACCCCTGCTGGCTGGCGTGGGGAGGGGGTGTAGAGGGCGGCGGCGCCAGCCTCCCTGGCACCATGGACGATGCCGCAGTCCTAAAAAAGAAGGGTTACGTTGCGGGAATCAATCTGGGCAAGGGTTCTTATGCAAAAGTCAAGTCTGCCTACTCAGAGCGCCTCAAGTTCAATGTGGCGGTCAAGATCATTGACCGCAAGAAAACACCCACTGACTTTGTGGAGAGGTTCCTTCCTCGGGAGATGGACATCTTAGCAACTGTCAACCACCGCTCCATCATCAAGACCTATGAGATTTTTGAGACCTCCGATGGACGCATTTACATTGTCATGGAACTCGGTGTCCAGGGCGACCTCCTTGAGTTCATAAAATGTCGGGGGGCGTTGCATGAGGATGTGGCACGCAAGATGTTCCGCCAGCTCTCCTCAGCCGTCAAGTACTGCCATGACTTAGACATCGTCCACAGAGACCTTAAGTGCGAGAATCTTCTCCTTGACAAGGACTTCAACATCAAGTTGTCTGACTTCGGATTCTCCAAGCGCTGCCTGCGGGATGGGTGTGGGCGCATTGTCCTCAGCAAGACCTTTTGTGGGTCAGCAGCCTACGCAGCCCCTGAGGTGCTGCAGGGCATCCCCTACCAGCCCAAGGTGTATGACATCTGGAGTCTGGGTGTGATCCTCTACATCATGGTCTGCGGCTGCATGCCCTATGATGACTCCAACATCAAAAAGATGCTGCGCACCCAGAAGGAGCACCGTGTGGACTTCCCCCGCTCCAAGAACCTGTCCAGTGAGTGCAAGGACCTCATCTATCGCATCCTGCAGCCAGACGTCAACCGGCGGCTGCACATTGATGAGATCCTCAGTCATTCGTGGCTGCAGCCCCCCAAGCCCAAAGCCATGTCTTCTGCCTCACTCAAGAGGGATGGGGAAGGCAAGTACCGGGCCGAGTACAAACTGGATACCAAGCCAGGTTCAAGGCCTGAGTACAGGGCTGACCATAAGCTGCGGGCTGAAAGCCCCCACCGGCCCAAGAATGAAGACAGGATGGAGGATAGGCTTGCTGAGACCTCCAGAGGTAAAGAGCATCACATCTCTGGAGTCGAGATGGGGAAGGTGATCATCTAGTGGTGGAGAAGGCCCCAGCACAGGGAGGAACTTGGAGTGTAGTTTGCGCTCATGTAAACCAACTAGGCAGGTAGGAACTGAAGAAGGCACAGGTGCCAGGAACAAGTAAAATCTGTCAATCCACTATGTTGACTATGTTCTTTTAGCTCTTTTCTACCTCATAGCGACAATCTTCATTACTGACCAACAAATAAGCCACAAAGTACATATAAGCATGGAGAACCCCAAGAGGGGTCTTTTTCTCTAGCACTCAGCGAAGGCGGGCCCTCCAGCTTCAGGGTCCACGGACCAGTGCTCAGACACAGGCAGTCACAGTGAGGCTTGTGGCAAGGACAGGACCTTTAGCAGTGTCCGTCTGCCGGGCCCTCTTGTTCACTTCTGACCTGCCCTGAGTCTCCAGGCCTCCAGGGCTGGGCGGCTGCACACCTCTTCCTAGCCTCATGGGGTGCAGCACACACTGACCCCATCCTGCTCCCTCACAGAAATCCTACCTCGATGTTCTCATTCGACTTCCAGGGTCATTTGAGATTGGTGATCTCGGCGGCTCCACCTCCACCCTTGCCATTCCCCAGGGACAGCCCAGCTGAGACCGCTCACTGGCACCCACCCCTCCCCGTGGACTCTCAACCCTACACCATGCAACAGCCTTTGGTGATGGCCTGATCCAATCTCTCGTGCTTCCTGTTTGGTCACCATCCCTCCCCAAAGCATACTGCCTGCACACTGACCAAGTGCCTGGGTTGGTCAGCACCTGACCCCAGATCTCTGCCTCCTACTTCCTGGGTCTCTCCTTGGGTTAAAGCCACACCTTTTCAAACTTCTGAGTCAAAAGCACCCAGAGGTTTACCTTCTTGACCCCTAAGCATCCCAGTCCAGGCCCCAGCTCCAACCCCCAGAAGCAGCCACCTTAGGGGCTTGTAAGAATGCACCGTGGGAGCACAGGTTGGCAAAGTCCCCAAGATGGAGTCAGGCCCTGGAATGGCCTCCAGAGGACATCTGCATGTAGAGAGGGGATGAGAGGACTCATCCAGGAAGACTGGGGAAAAAAGCTCATGCAGGGCTCAAAGCAGCACCCTAAGCAGAGTCCAGTGTGTGCCCTGAGCCCCCAAGCAGTGATCATTCTGCGACCCCCACCTGAGGCCTAAACACAGGTCCTGGACACAGCTGGGCCAGAGAGAAAGGCCCCTTAGCTATGGGGAGACAGTAGGCTCATGGCTCCAGCTGGCTGCCACCCTAGTGAGGGTGGCCCCCATATTCTCAGCCCAGGCTAGGCCCACAGGCAAATGCCACCACACGGTATGCATGCCACCTGAACTCTGCGTGGAACCTGACCATATTCCTTCTTATAATGCAGCCCCTGTTGGGCTGAGGCTAGTGCCTCAGTACAGCCCAATGGGTAGCGCCAAGAGCAGTATGGGATGGCAGTGAGCAGGATAGTGGAGATGACTCAGACCCACCTGAGCTGGAAGATGATGGGTAACAGTTGACGCCACCAGGAATATACTGGTTTCGGTTTAGTAAGTAGCACCTACAGGGCCCTACAGCCAGAAAGATCAAACAGGCTAGGCCTGCTAGGAGGATGCAGATCTAGGCCCAGAGTCATTCTTTTGTTGTTATTGTTGTTGTTGTGTTTTTTTGAAACAGGGTTTCATTATGTAGTTAAGGCTGTCCTTGAACTCACTTTGTAGTTGGAGGCTGGCCTCCACCTTGCAGTGATCCTCCTGCCTCAGCCTCCCGAGTGCTGGGATTACAGATGTGTGCCACCATGCCCAGCCAGATCCGTGTATTCATTCCTTGACTCTACACTTGATTCTTTTAGGTTTCCAAAGCAGATGATATAATCCACACTCTTGGCCTCTGTGACAACAGAAACTTCTGCCTCCTTCCTGTGATCTCATGATACCCCAGAGATGGCACATGTGGGGTCCAGCACCCCAGTGGAACGTGCATGCTCCAAAGTTTCCCTTCTCCCTTTTTCAAACTACTCTGAACACTCAGTTTCCCCACAGGCTCCCTACAGAACAGGGCTTCTTGCTTCCCCATGGCTAACAAGGACAGACCTACCCACCTACTCATCTATGCCATCCTCGGCCACATAATTCTGTTTTTAGTATATGGTTGCTTAAGTGAGCATGGACCACCCAATTTCTACAGGCTGTCAACTCCCACCTTCCAACATGCCCAGAATTCAGGGTCGACATAATGCACCCCCATCTGGCCACATCTCATGCAGCTCATGAAGAATATCCCTGACCTGCCCCAGGCCTCATGCACTCCACTCCACCCACTCCCCCAGTGCCAGGGTGCAGCGCATCCTCCGGGGCATCCTTCACTGTGTTCTGTAACCATAGACCCTGCTCTGCCAGCACACAGCCCTTCTGAGAACACAAACCGTGTTCCAGGGCCCTCAGGCCTGCAGGGCAGCTGAAGCTCCTGGTCTGACTCTGTGACCATCACATCTCATCTGGGAACAGCTCCTAGCCTCTAGGCCCTAGAGGGCCACTCCCTGCCTTGGTGTCTTGGCTGTCCTGCCCCAGATCTCTCCGTGACAGACTATGTTTGTCTTTAGCTTCCTGGCATTCAGAAGTGCCATTGCTCAGCCCCCTTGAAGGCTGGCCCTGGTAACCTGTGCACGTGGGGGCCTTCCACTCTCAGCAGTATATTCTCAACCTCCCCTCAGGTCGTCAGCAGGAACTCATTCACACCTGCAAGTGGAAAGCCCAGAGTCACCTCAACCCAGGGAACCCTGGTGAAGGTTCCACCCCCGGTTCTCTCCCAACCAAAGCCCATTATCCCGTATCCATCCCAGTTAACAGCAAAGCTAGCAACTAGCTCACTCTCCTTCCATGGGATTCAGGAACACTGGCGCCTCCATCCTCTGAGAGCAAAAAGCAAGGTCATCAGGGGGCCAAGGCAAGGTATACATGCTGGCTTTGGGAAGCAAGATCAGCTGAGTTTCCCCAGCACAATGCCAGTGGCTTCCTGGAGGCTGCAGCTACCCCAAGGCAGGAGAGACCTGCAGGTCCCTGGGCTCCCAAATTACCCAGGACTCGGGGCAAACCTGTAGCTGTATATGCCCTGGTCTGCATCAAGCAGCCAGGACCTGAGAGCACAGAGGCCAGTGAGAGAAGAGCAGAGGGATGCCCTTTGCACTGAGGAACTGACCCAAGTCTTACCTGTCTCCTGTCTGAAGAGACTCGGCCTGTACACAGAGCATGCCCACCCTATGGTGCCCTCTGGATCCTCATTTGGGGGACAACTCTACCTGTATTCTTCATGTTTCCTAGGGACGTGTCTGATGAAGTGGCATCAGACCTGCTATGAAGGCATCAGACCTGCTACCCTTGTCTCCTTCACATGCCCCAGCTCCATTTCAATGCATGCACTAAACAGCTGGCTTTCCACTGTGGTAGTGGTGATGGTGGGGTCTGCCTTCCCAAATGCTGGCTGTGAGCTATGCCTTCCCTTAGGGTAGCCAGGGGCCACGTGCTCAGCTCAGGCTGGTTCCATTCTTGGGCCAGATAAAGTGCAGCTCCTGATCAGTGAAGAAGCTCATGAGAAAGCCCCTCATATGCCAGCACGTCTGCATGGTATCCCAGTTGTTCTCCCCACTCAGATAGACCCTGTAGAGAATTTTTAAAAGACATGTGGTCTCAAGGACAAATACAGTACAACAGAAAAAAAATAGCATTCTAAAAACTGGCAGGGAGAAGGACAAGTGACACCTTAAAGAGGGTGACCATAGCATACAGTCTGCATGGGGGCAATCCGTTTACCTCTGCTGTCCCAGTACTCCCAACCAGTTTAGCATTTGTCAGCCTCAAAATTGTTTCATTTTAGAAGTAAACCATTCAAAATTTATTTGAGACTGGAAAGCTAAATCTTGGGCCAAGAGCTGGAAAAGTAGAAAAATAAAGAATCCAGTCATATTTATCAAAACTACAAATGCATTTATGATTTGACCCGGCAACCCTACATTTAGGAACTTGCAGGGAAGCAATAGCTCCAAAATTTGTGGGGAGTGTCTGGAGGGGGATTCATATGCACAAGGTTATTTACTGTGGTGTTGTTTTCAGTAGCAAAATAATGGGGGCAACCAGGAGGCCCATATAGAGGAGACTGAAGCACAGTAGGTCCCTGAAGGAGATAGCACAGTAGGTAACTGTGAAAAAAAGAGAAAGATCCTACAAATTAATACATAATGGTTTTGAATATATTTTGTGAAATGAACAAAGAAGAAAATCAGTGCAAACAGTATACACAGTAAAATCTTTCCTTCTTTTTTTTTTCTTCTCGTCCTCCTCCTCCTCCTCCTTCTCCTTCTCCTCTTCCTCCTCCTTCTCTTCCTCCTCTTCTTCCTCTGCCCCCTTCTTGTTCTTTTTTTTTTTTGGTACCAGGAATCGAACTCAGGACCTTGTGCTTGCCAGGCAGGTGTGTGTGCCACTGAGCTATATCCCTGGCCCTCTTCTTCTTTTGGCATTGCTGAGGGTCAAACCTGGGGTTTTCCCATACTAAGCAAGCACTCTACTATTGACCTAGATCCCAGGCAGTAAAATGCTCTATTATGCAATAAAAAAATTGGCAAAGAAAGAGAAAAATGTGTGTTGTGTGTGTAATATATATTTGTACATGATTATTTGGGGGAAAAAACTAAAAAACTAAGCTAAGGACTAATAAAATTAGTTACCTTTAAGATTTGAGTGGAACAGGATACAAAATCAACACACAAAAACAATACATTCCTGCATAATAAGTCCACAGAAAAAGAAAGCAAAAAAGCAACTCCATTAACAATAGCTTCAAAAGATCCAAATGCCAAAGGAATCAACTTACCAAAGAGGTGAAAGATTCTGCAGTGAGAATTACAAAACACTGAAGAAAGTACTTGAAGAAGACAATAGAAAATGGAAAAACAGGCTGGGGATTTAGCTCAGCGGCACAGCGCCTGCCTGGTAAGCGCAAGGTCGTGAGTTCGATTTCCAGTACCAGAAAAAACAAAAAACAAAAATGGAAAAACCTCCCCTGTTCATGGGTCATCAGAACTACTATTGTTAAAATGGCCATATAACCAACAGTGATCTATAAATCTTATGTAATTCCTATTAAAATAACAATATTCTTTACAG